CGTGTTTGTTTTGGTGATTTCAAATATCAACATTGGCTACCAGAAATCACTTACTCTGCCTTTAAGACACAACACATAAGACACTCTTTTTCGCCACCTGCTGGCGTATTTATGTAATATGAAGAAATGGTCACTGAACGAATCAGTGAACGAATCTGAACGAATCATTTTGGTGAACAAACTGAAAATGAACGAATCTCTTGAAAGAATCTAAATTTCCATCACTAGCTGCCATCAAGAGAAGCTGAGAAGCTCCTACTTCTATATGTTATGTCATGCATTAAAAAAATAACTTATTAAGAACATATATATATACATATGAACCTCATTAACTGCCCAATATCAACTTCTGAACTGAAAACAATGACAGCCATTCATGTTCGTCACTTAACTATGCAGCTAAAAAAAGTGACTGATTTGTTGTCATGAAGTGATTTTTGTCTTCTCATCCTCAAAACCAGTGATTCTGTGGAAAGATACTCGAGATGTAGATTAGGGATGTCAATTTCGACAAATTCTCACGATCGATCTTCGTTTAAATTAACGATCGATTAATCGTTAACCTTTATACTGCAAGATGCGTCTACTGCAGTAGCATAGTTACCGCATGACCAGGTGTGCAATGACACTAAAAACGCAAGCGTCATCAAACAAAGGAAAGGGTTTTTACTGTAAATAAAACACTAGTAGGATTATCAAATGAATCGATTGATCATTTAATAGAATTATTTAATTATTCAAATATAATGACTAATATAACGCCGTCTCAGATGCGCACTCCAACTGGTGCATGCGTGCGTCCATGTCAGCAAGTTTTTGTTACTGTAAGTGTTATTTTCTTCCCAAATGTGCATAGGATATTGTGCATATTAAGGAAAATCCGGAGAATGCGAAAAAGCCCATCTCCTCGTGAATGCCATTACGTGTTAAAGGCCTATGCCATTTAGTTATTAGCCCACTTCAGTGGTCTTGAAATTGAGATTTACTTACCTCACATGGATGACATTTTAATACTTATATATTACTTGCTCAAGAGCTGAATGTACCAGTTAAGTTAAATGATATGCTAATCTATTTCAAATAATTAACGATCTGATGATGCAGTCTACACTGGATGCGGCTCGGCGCAACGCAACACAACCCCAGACAGTAAACTGATACCCCGTTCTGTTTCTGACGCACTCAAAGCATAGTACCGGAGTAGTTCTTAATAAATTTAGAGGCTGTTCTCTAAGAAAGTTGTTCACTTCGCTTTCCGAGTCGTTGATATCCCGTTCATTGTAATAATTTCCGAGAAGCATCCGAAGGGCTCTTTTCCCGTCATCACCTCCAGCTTGGGCCTGCTGCACACTTTGAGTAACCCCACTATTTGGATTTTCTGTATGGGGCCCGGTCAGAACTACTGCGGATGCCATTTCGTGCAGCTTTGCATTGGCAGCCAACCTCTCTGATGTGGTTAGAAAGCCTAGATGTTTGTGTCTGGCATCCAGCATCGTTGCTATCATCGATGGCTTTGATGGGAGTGCACTAGATTGAACCTAAAGTAATGAATTTAAGCGATTAGGTGGCGCATCGCCTATGAAATTATTTTGTATGGAATGGATGTTTCTCAAAACATCTCTTACCTGCATTCGTTGCGCCAATGAGGCATGCACTTTTGCTTTGAACTCCAAAACCCGAGTGCTGTCCTCTTCGTTTCTCATAAGATGTGAATGTAAGAGGCCATAAGTGATAGGATAGATATTTGAGATGGACACATCAGATTCGGTAGACATTACAGTCGTGGCACACTTTAACGCTGCCAACACAGATGCCACGTCCTCCATCAGCTGCCAGTATTCATCTTTGAGCTCAAGAATTCTGGCGTCCGCTAGTTTGGTGACAGTGCGGTCAGACAGTACGGCAGTCACTGCCCACCTTTGTTCCACGAGCCGGGCAAACATGTCACTGACCGAGTTCCACCTTGTCTTGCAGGACTGTATCAGTCGATGCGGTGGAAGTTTCAACTGTGCCTGTTTGTCACGGAGTGCTCTGGTAGCCACAGTACTGTGATTGAAGTGCTGAACAAGTCTTCCAGCAGCTGCGATGACCCTGTTTATGTATATGTTGAAGCCATCGTTTATGGCGAGTTGTAATATGTGGGCAAAGCACGGCACGGAATCCCAGCTGAAAAGAGTTTGATCGTTTGTTGCCACGAACTACTTTGTTTGGCCTTCCAAAAGAGGACGATATCCGCTTCATCATGCCTAGAGCTGATCCGTGCTGGTCGCTGAGGAAATACATCAACTTCGCGCTGTGGATCGCCGGATCGGCTTTCACCGTGGACGAAGTGGAGTCCAGCCCGGGGTCGTCACATGTGGTTGCCGCAAGCCCGCCGGCTTCCGCTCACTCAAGCCGCCGGCCTCCGCTCACTCTAGCCGCCAGAGAGTCAGGACCTCGGTTTAATGTCTCATCCGAAAGACTTCTGTGTTCTGTGTTAGCTGCGTCACACGGATACGCTGTTTCCGTTCAGATCAAATCACAACAACGTAGGAAACAGATCCGGCATGACGCAGCTGACACAGAACAGCATATGCTGTTTACAGGGTGATGCGGAGGAGACGAATTGTTGAATAAAGTCGTTTTTTTTTTTTTTGTGCACAAAAAGTATTCTCGTAGCTTCGTATAATTGCGGATGAACCACTGATGTCACATGTTAAATGAATATCTGAACATGCAATATGCCAAAATAAAGGTCAGACCCTCTACTTTCAAACAAAAAAGTTTTTTTCTAGCTTTAAGCATTGTTTTTTTTATCAACACTTGAATGTAGGTAGGTTTCATGAAAAAGCAACATTTTAAGAAAAAAGCTGAGAAAATTGCATTTTTATCAAATACTAGCCTACATCTGGATCATATTCAGTAATATTATCAAAGCAAAGATGCAGTAGATTCCATCAGCACTCCCAAAGCTTGCACAGGCCTTCCTAGATTGACATTTCACTCTGTAACATTAGGCCGTTTTCATTTATACGCGGTTAGTGTTGAATATCGCATTATTTTTCATATTGCATATGCATACATAGGAGATTCTGCGTCTTCCTGGTCTGTGTTTTTGACCGGCACACTCAAGACTCATTCAGGAGATGTGTGATAGCGCCCCTTAGTGTATAATAGCAAGAACGCGGAAACCCGGAAAATCCGATCTGCCTACGGATATCGGTCTCAGTATCAACATTGTGACAAATGATACTCCCCAAATAGGTGATTTTTTTCCCCCGCTGTCTCCTGTCGTGTTGCATCTACAGTGATGACTGGCACTCGATTTTTCCAGGCTGATACGCAGGCCGGTCTTACTGGCTTCGTGGTTCATGTGAGATAAGACTTAAACTGTGCTAATGCTTGTTCACAAATGGCAGTATAATTCTCATGCTGTCCACAGGAAAGTTGTGCTGGAAAATAAACCTTTGGTCATGCTCTGTTTCGCAAGATGTTTGATAACTGCCAGGTTGACGGAAGTTTGAAGGCAAACAGTTTCTGAGATTACAAGAAACACGTTTTTCATTAGTCTTTTTTTCAGTAGATTTTGATGACTTAAACTGCTTTTGTATTTTTCTTCTAGACCTGATTGAGAAGAGTCAAGAGCTGAAGGATTTGGAAGAGAAAGATCATGATTTAAAAATTGGAGAAAAGATGGAATGTAACAGTTTTCTTATATGCCGTCAGTGTGGAAAGAGTTTCAATCGAAAACAAAACCTTACGCTCCACATGAAAGTTCACACTGGAGAGAGACATTTCATCTGTAAACAGTGTGGAAAGAGTTTCACTCAAAAAGGAAACCTTAAAATTCACATGAGAGTTCACACTGGAGAGAGACATTTCATCTGTAAACAGTGTGGAAAGAGTTTCACTCAAAAAGGAAACCTTAAAATTCACATGAGAGTTCACACTGGAGAAAAGCCTTATACTTGCTCTCAGTGTGGACAGGGTTTTGCACATAAAGGCAACCTTAATTCCCACATGAGAACTCACAGTGAAGACGGCTTGTTCACCTGCAAACAGTGTGGAAAGAATTTCCCTCAAAAACAAAACCTGGCAATCCACATGAGGATTCACACTGGAGAGAAGCCTTACACTTGCACTCAGTGTGGAAAGAGTTTTGCTTATAAACATACTCATAATAACCACATGAGAAGTCACACCGGAGAGAAGCTGTTCAAATGTGATCAGTGTGGAAGGAGTTTCACGACAGAACTAACCCGTAGATACCACATGACCATTCACACCGGAGAGAAACAGTTCAAATGTGGTCAATGTGGAAGGAGTTTCATACATAAAGTAAGCCTTAATCGCCACATAAGGACTCACTCAGGAGAAAACTGTTTTATATGTCATCTATGTGGAAAGAGTTTTAGTCATAAATGTAGCCTCAAAATTCACATGAGAGTTCACACTGGAGAGAAGCCTTACACTTGCACTCAGTGTGGAAAGAGTTTTACTCATCAACACAACTTTAGTTACCACATGAGAGTTCACACTGGAGAGAATTCCTTCACCTGTAAATCTGAGTGAACGTTCACTGCTGCTGAGTGTGGGCCACATCTGATTGTACACCTTCATACCCACTTCTCTTATTTTCATTCTTCACCTCTATCTACATTATCTTGAGGCTACATCTGACCATCTACTTTGCTGTAGTTTCAAGTAATAAGCATTTATATTTACATTTAGTCATTTAGCAGACCCTTTTATCCAAATCAACTATAACAATATTGTCTGGACCTCCACTGGGGACTTTAATTGAATACCCCTGGTATAGAGGCATCATTCCATTTCATATATTGATAACTTGGAATCAAAATAGTAGTTGAACTTCGGTCATGCTGTGAAAAGCCACACTGTATAACTGAATGATAATGTAAATAATGGTCATACAAATAAAATGACAAGCTGAATGAAATAAAGAACTTTACACTACATTTTCTGATTCATCTTAGTGAGAGAATGTACTGGTAGTGTACTCATCTGATGACATCTGGAAGGTACCTCCATGAAGTTGGCGCCCCATAAAAATAAATAATCACCAAAACTATGCCATTCGTTTGTGCTACGTTTGTGCTGATTTGTGCCGCAAAAAGCGAGTGTTTGTGCTGGTTTGGTGTTTGAGATATTAAACATTATTTTTTTGACCATGTGACGTCACTCTCCACCCCATGTTGCCCAAATCGCTCCAAATCGGCGCAGTTCGTTTGTGTTGGGTTTGTGCCGTTAAAACAAACGCTGAATCTATTTTCCTGAATCTATAGATTTAAACACAGTTTCGCGAGCTGTGACGTCACTCTCCACCCCAGTTTGTCTAAATCGCACAAAACCGGTGTCATTAGTTTGTGCTTGATTAGTGCTGATTTGTGCCGTTGAAATGAACATCAAATATATTTCCCCTTCTTAGAAATAACAAACAGAATTCGGGGCAGTGACGTCACTCTCCACCCCCTGCCGTCCAAATCTCTCCAAACCGGTGCCGTTCATTTGTGCTTGATTTGTGCCGTTAAAAGAAACAATGTTACCATGACCTCTTCTTAAATATAACGGAAACTTTACTCTCCATCCCATTTACCGCGGCCACAGAGTTTTTTCTTTTTTTTTCTTTATTTCTTTTACAGTGAGTCTAAATCCTTACGTTTGTGCTGTTAGAAAATTAAACACTGCAGTTATACACCTAAAAAAACAAAAACAAATAAGGCCTATGCTTCAGGGTGCTCTTCACAACAAATGCCGCATTCATTTGTGCTCGAATTGTGCCTTGAAAAGAAATCCTGGTTGTTACTAAAATTCTGGCTGTAACTAAAATTCTTCATAAATATGTAACAAGGAAAAGAACACGCCGTTAATATGCCATTATAGGCTATTTGTAGGCTAATGTAATTACATGGTATGACTGCATTTAACATCTATGCATAGCCGCGGAAACGTATGTAAACATATAATAATATTAATAAGTTTCATTTCTTCATTAAATATAAGTGAGTGTCTTTATTGTTGCTGTGCTTTCAATGAACCACAAACTTAGCAGTCGTTTTAACAAGGGAAAATACCTTATTTGGGTTACAACGCAAGTATGCAATATTCGTCTTATTCATTTTGTTAATAAAAGTTAGATGTTAAATATATGCGAATTTGCCATTGTATTTTATGACTTATGTATTTTAATTAATAGGCTAATAATGAACTACAAACGACGATCATTTCAAGGTAAGGGGAAATCCAAAGACCATTATTTTAGAGCCCTGCATTTCAGCCCGGGCCTGACTTATACGCCCCTATAGTAGGGTTGTTTACTATAAAAAATCAAAACGACGGTGGGGGTCGGTGACGCGATGGGCAAGTGACGTAACCGGTGTTGCGGCTTAACAACGGTATCACCGTCAGCACCGTCTATCGCGGCAAACCTACCCTATAGGGCCGGGCTTCGAGCAAATTTTCACGTCATAGCAGTTGGAAGAGTTAGTAAAAAAGAGGACTGGATTAAAACTAGAGCTGCCCCTACCAGAGATTTAAAATAAGTAAAAAAAGAATTACCATGAATGTGTTTGGGGGAAATAGTAAGGAGATATTTGAATTATTTATTAATAAACTAGTGTTTTCTGAGTCAGTGTTGCAAGTTGATCCTGACTCGCCATCTGGCCGGGCTTCGAGCAAATTTTCACGTCATAGCAGTTGGAAGAGTTAGTAAAAAAGAGGACTGGATTAAAACTAGAGCTGCCCCTACCAGAGATTTAAAATAAGTAAAAAAAGAATTACCATGAATGTGTTTGGGGGAAATAGTAAGGAGATATTTGAATTATTTATTAATAAACTAGTGTTTTCTGAGTCAGTTTTGCAAGTTGATCCTGACTCGCCATCTCCTCACTGCACGCGACTTTAGAGAGAAATGCATCTTTACGGATTACATAATGAAAGAGCTTGTTTTTAATTATTTGAAGAGTTTTATTGAAGACTTTGAATTATTTCATTTTAAAGTAGTAATTTAAAGCTTTCTATAGATTTGTTTATCATGTCTGTGAGGCAGATAAGCTATTCGCTGAGTTTCGGTTCATCATTGTGAAGCGCCTCCTGTTCAAGACCGAGACGGCAGAAAGCGCATCCAGTTTGTTTTCTTTATTTTAAAGCACAATGTTTTATTGTGAGCGCACACGAATAAAAGTAGACCCTTTACAGTGCAGAATGATGTATTACTCTTATCTTTATGAGCAAAAATGACGGTGTATTTTAAGTTGTTTTCACTTTTATTAAGAAAAAATGCAAGTGATCGCGCTGGCGCCTCCATGCCCTGTAAAGTGCGCTTTAGCTTCCACTCTCCGCACAAACGATTGGATATGCATCTAATAGCGAACATTTATCTAGGTTAAATGTTTAAACTAACATTGTGATATACTTGAAGTGTTTTATATCTATAGATTTTATTTTAGGCAAGTCATGATGATTTGAGAAGGCTACAAAAACTTGAATTTAACAAACAAAAAATGTTCCAAATAGGCTATATTTCTAAATTAATTATGAAAAGAAACAAAAATAAATATAACCACTTTGCCATTAAAAACAAAACTGAACTATTTTAATGGCTACAACAGCAGCTGTGTAATGGGGGAAGAGAGAAAGAGAAAAAAGACACGGGCTCC